GGTGTGCACATGTAGTCAGTGCACTTTGGGATCGGAAGCTGTTGTTTTATATTTATTTCGATTTCGAGCGCGATTTAACTGAAAACTGTGTGTAGAATGGCGGGATTTCTGAACCCCGATAGCCTTAGCGTGCAATATTTAAAAACAATTAAATTTTCTTCGCTTTCTTTGGAGGAAAAAATCCAAATCAAATGTGTCGGCCGTCCAAAGCCAAATTTAATAATCACCAACATAACAAAATGCAAAAGTCGTGATTATAAACGAACTTTTAAAATGGAAACTTACGAAAAAACTGACTGGTTGTGCGGTTGTGATGTTAGTAATAGTCTTTACTGTTTTCCCTGTTTGTTATTTGGAAGCGATGAAGCATCAGTACATTTATCCGAAAAAATTAAAAAACATCAAAACTCAAAATCACATCTTACTCTTATCTTTCAATACAAAACGTGTCTGTGAGATTGAAAACTATAATACATTTATGTATAAAAACAATTGTTAGACCAGGACGATGTACTCAGCGAGGTAAGTTACTTTGTTACTTAATTTCTAGTTTATTGATATAAGATCCTTCAATTTCCACGATTTGATAGACCGAAAAAAGTATTAAATTGAGCTTAGTTGGTTGTTTGGTAGGGTAGATATGAAATCCCTTAACAATATTTTTAATTATTGGTAGGTAAACACATCACATAACTCATACGATCACTTACAATAAATTATTTTTTTAAAGGCCTAAAATAAACACTTCTGGGCGTGGCACCCCGAAAAATTTCGCGCCTCCGGCGGCGCCTGCGGCGGGCATCCCCCTTTCGGCATTTATTATGAATTACAAATTATGTGCACCCCCAATATGTTATACCACGAGCCGCCACTGATCGAAAGTATGTTAATTTTTGAAAGTGTCCTCCCTGACGTTTCACTATAGAAATTTACGGGATCGGGAAGTAAACAGAGTGCATGAGTCAGAAACGAAGATTGGGTTAATTACAAAAGTGTACAGAGTTTTGGTTAGTATGGTTTAGTTTTGGTTAGTTAGCGTTAGTCAAGGCGTTAGTATGTGGAAAAGAAAGTAGAAAGAAAAAAAAGATTGTATTTTCGACTTTTTATAATCTTGGCAACTTGTATTTTCGACGTTTTTCAATTTCTACCTTTTAAAATTCGGACTTTTGTTTTTCGATCTTTTGTATTTTTGTTATTTTGTATTTCGACTTTTTGTATTTTCGACATTTTGTATTTTCGACATTTTGTATCTTCGACATTTTGTATTTTCGACGTTTTGTTGTTCAACCTTTTGTTATTCGACCTTTTGTTATTCGACTTTTTGTTATTCGACCTTTTGTTATTCGACCTTTTCTCATTCGATCTTTTGTATTTTCGACATTTTGTATTTCGACCTATTGTATTTTCGACCTTTTGTTATTCGAACTTTTCTCATTCGATCTTTTGTATTTTCGACCTTTTTGCCAGGACTCCAACTTTAATGATGCTCCTTACATAGATATATCAGAGATCCATGATCATGACGTAATTGCAGCAAGCAAAAAACTAAAGAACAAGTTGACATCTGGTGTTGAAGGCATACCGAGTTTTTTGGTTAAGGATTGTGTCTATGCATTGGCTGATCCTTTAACTTATATTTACAACCTAATTTTGTCCACGAATCAATTCCCAGAGATCTGGGAAACTGCTCGTCACTCCTATTCTAGAGAAGGGTGATGCTAGTCTTGTCACAAATTACCGGCCTATTTCTTTACTCTGCAACTTCTCCAAGATATTTGAAATCATTTTATATAACTATTTATTTAATAATGTCAGGAATGGTATTTCGATCGATCAGCATGGATTTGTTAATGCCAGGTCATGCATGACTAATCTATATCATGCTTATCAGAAAACGTATGTAAAACACTTAATTCTCTAGGTCAGGTGGACGTTATATACAGTGTCATTACTCAAGTGTGCAACATATGGGATTTTTTTTTAGTAATAGCACAATCAAAATACAAACAATGCCAAAAGTTGGTGCATGTCTGATAATCATATTAGGTGCACTTAGAATGGTTGCAAGTCAAACCGCATACAGGGTAGCTTAAAAAATATCAAAATTGTAGTAATATTTACTTAAATAAAATAAAACTTTTGTACTTTAAGGAGAGTTTTTTTAATATGGCTATTATCATTAGTGATGTTTTAACTTGTTAAAAAAAAAAAAATTGCGACATTTTAAAGTTGTGTTTAATATCATTGCAACAAACATGAATTTTGGGATTCTATAAAAAATTAAAAATCTAAGTTAATTTTACAAATATGCTTGAATTTGAACAAAGTTATATAAAATTGATTTGATTTTAATTAATTTTTGAAAGTATTAAGGGCGAAAATAAAAAAATATAGAAATTACAGATTTTTTTCCAAAAAAAAATAAAAAAAATCTTAGGAAGCTATGTTTTGGTATTTAGGCATAACTTTTAATTCCAAACAACTTTTCTCTATAACATTTTGCTGAAATTTCTAAAATAAGGGTACTTTACAGTATACAGCTTTGATATTGTTTGAGGACCCTGTATGCTGTTTGACTTGCAACCATTCTAAGTGCACCTAATATGATTATCAGACATGCACCAACTTTTGGCCATGTTTGTATTTGGGTTGTACTATTACTAAAAAAAATTCCCATATGTTGCACACTTAAAAAATCACACTGTATACAGACTTCCAGAAGGCCTTTGACCGTATAGATCATTGTGTGTTGCTGAACAAGTTGCAGGGATTTGGGCTTTCTGAACGGCTCACCAAAGTGTTTAGGTCATACTTGTTGGGTCGTACTCCGTTTGTAGAAGTTGACGGTTTCAAGTCACAGGCTTATGTTGCAACGTCTGGAGTCCCACAGGGCTCTAATCTGGGCACGCTTCTGTTCAAAATGTTTATAAACGATCTTCTGAGTGCGATCACATGTAATAAGCTGGCTTACGCCGATGACTTGAATCTTTATCACGATATAAGCAATACTGATGACTGTGTTTTTCTTCAGGACAATTTGAATACTTTGAGTCGTTGGTGTGTTGATAATAATTTAGGTCTTAATTTGTCAAAGTGCAACATTATCAGTTTTTCTCGGTTAAGGGCACCAGTTATGTATGCTTACAGTATTGACGGAACTGCTTTGGACCGACTTGATCAGATAGCGCATCTTGGAATCATATTTGATGCTAAATTCACTTTCATTCCTCAATTAGACAACCTCACACGGTCGGCCAATCGCATTCTTTGGATTTATAATCAGAAACTCTTGAGACTTTAGAAACGAATCGACTATTAAATTATTATATTACTGCTTTGTACGTTCAAAACTAGATTATGGGGGCATCATTTGGAACCCTATCTACGCATGTCATGTGATCTCGGTTGAGTCGGTTCAGCGTAGGTTCCTGAAATATCTTGTTTTTAAGTGTGAGGGGGTGTATCCGGAGAGAGGATGTGACAACAGGGTTTTGCTCACACGTTTTCACGAGTTATCTTTATTTATTAAACGAAAGATATTGTTGATTAAATTTTTGTTTAATTTGTTCCACAATATAATTGATTGTCCTTTCCTTTTGTCCAATATTAGCATTCTGGTACCTCGTTTGAATGCCAGACGCTCACTAACCTTCTTTCTCGATACTCCCCGGACAAATGTGTTATTCCAGTCACCATTATACATGATGTGTTATACTTTCAACGGGATCTGTGATATCTGCGATATTTATAACAGCCCTATTAGTTTAATTTTTGAAGAGTTGGTGAGAACACATACCTAACTCTACTGCAGAGGCAACTTTTTTTATACCTTTTTTTTCTCTTCTCCCTAATTTAGTTTTTAATTTAATTTTAGTTAATTTTTCCTTTTTTGTTATTTTGCAATTAATATTAATTTTCTTGTAATTGGGCTTCTGGCCTGTTGGAAATAAAGACTTATTATTATTATTATCATCATTATTATTATTATTATTTTTATTATTATTATTATTATTTTTATTATTATTATTATTATAACAAGTAGAAGACCGAACAATCCAGCCCATAAATGCATACAAATTTTTGGGTTAGTTACACACAGTTACAATTATTGACAGTGGCCTCCCCTGGAACACACAATATAATAATGTCACAAAAAAGTTGGCTTCGAGTCTTTATGCAATTAAAAGTAGCTAGAAACTGTCAGCAAAGAGGCAGAGGTTGAGTTCTACCGTTCCTATCGTCATTTATTCATGACTATGACAAACAAAAAGAGTTTGATTTGCATGCTTGCAACACAAGAACTAGATATGATAAAAAAAAGACTGACCGGTGTCTTCTCTTTCTGGGAATTCTCTTTTTTCTCTTGGCAAAACAATATCCATATAGGTACCTAATAAGCTTTGGTATAAGAAATATGAGAACAAAAAAATATTTACTCAAAACCACATTCAACGCAACTATTCACTAAATGAAATAGTTGAAAAACATAATGTGCTTTCTAATAAAAAAACCGCTTGTGACACCTATGTAAAATTCCTTTTTATATAGCTTCTTGTGACATTTTTGGGGTTGTTTTAGTTTTAGGTTAGTTGTAAGCCATCTAGATGCAGGGGAAATATAAAATATAGTACCTACCTACAGCTTTAAGCTTTCAACAAAGAGATTCATTAATAGGACAACAAATCAACCTTTTCATATCGCAGTGATTTAACATTCAATAAAGTTAAAGGCAGTATTCATTAATGGTATTGAACTTCTGAAAATATTATGAGAATTATGCTTTTCATGGCCGTTTCCGCCAACTATTTTAGGGGAGCCTTAACGATAAGTATTCCCTAAACTGACATTTCTCCATGTAAAAATGTCATTTTAAGAAATACTTATCGTTGAGGCTCCCCTAAAATAGTCGGTGGAAACGGCCATCAACCCCTATACTAGAGTATTAATCAAGATTTCACCATCTATGTTTAGGGAAAACTCCTTAAAAAAAACTCATTTAATTGAAATACATACAGATTTATTTTTAATAATTATTATTATAATCATTATAGACTGTAGGCCCACTGCCAAAAATTGCAACGATAGCAGAGCTGTCAGAAAAAAGTATCTCACTCACTTTATAGTATCTAAGATAAGTACTGTATCTTAAATACTTTTTAAACGGATCTGTAACTTGTATCTTAAAAAAGTATCTTAGATACCAAAAAGTATCTCAGATACTTAAATGCTTTTGCCACATGTTGAAAATGTTGAAAACCTAGTATTTGCTGTCTGAAAAAAATTAAGCTAATACTCATTGATTCGCTTATTTATCCACAGATTACTGCAACATAGTTTATTGCAATTACCTAAGTAATGAATATCACAAAAAAATTCAAATGGCACAGGATGCTTGCATGCATTTTGTTTACTGTATAAATAAATTTGATCATATTTCACCTGTATATGTTGCGCATGATATATTGAAATATGAATACAGATCATTGCTTAATTTTGGTATTTTTGTGTATAAAGTTTACAAGTCAAATTGTCCACCTTATCCAAGGAGTTTCATTATTGCCAGCAAGACTTGCATGACCTACCTCTAAGAAATGTGGTTAGATTTCACAATCCACGGCATTTCACATCTAAGTTTAGAAATTCTTTTGCTTATAGGTGTATAGAACTCCTTAACTTAAACACATTTGTCCTAATAGATACTAAATCTCTTGCAAGCTTTAAACATCACTATAAAATGTTCCTTACCAATATGATGTTAGAAAAATGTAATTGATATGTACTCGTTAGCAGCTAAGTTTGTATTTCTGTTAGGGTAGTATGGAAGAACGCTAAGCGAATGCTACCTATTATGTAATTGGCATATTTTTCTTTGTATTTTTGCATAATAAAATTTTTATCTATTGTATTCTATTCTATCTTATTAAGTATCTTCAAAAGTAACCTAAGATACATATTTAAGATCTTTTTTTTAATGACTAACTAAATACCCAAAGTAACTTCAGTTACTTTTTCCAAGAAAAACATTTCCTACGAGCGTGCGCGAAGTAGTACTTTTCCGCACGCATTTTCGTGCTCAAAGCTACACTTTTCGGCACTCCGTGCGGATAAGGTCTGTATCCGCACTGAGTGCCAAAAAATAAAACTGATTGTCAAGCACCTGTCGAGTTTTACAAATGATTTTTTCTCTGTTTCTGTATCAGCCAAGATCTATACAAACACCGCATATAATTAACTTGGACACATTGTCAGATTTGTTCTCCATTTATAATATATGCAAGAATCTACAAACTTGTTTCCCAATAAATTTAAATGCTATTAGGATGAACAGCTCTGACAAATATTTTCTATTATTATTATTTTTTTTGTTATGTAATTTTTTGATGAATAGGTCCGCTTCAAGTTAATTGAGAATAATTGAACAAATTATCGTTTTTTTTTTAAATTTTTGTTGTTACCTGCCTGGATATGACGCTCGTAGGAAAAAATTTGTTCCTAACGCGTGCGCAAAGTGTCCTTTCCGCACGCAAACACTTATCCGAACTCCACTTCGCGTCGTTCGTATAATTATTGTTAGGAAAATAACTACACCTTGTAACTGGATAATTTTTGAAAGTATCTTTGACAGCTCTGAACGAATGTATAACCAATGCCATCAGAGGTTTTGGTAATTGTAATTGTGCATATACTCGTTAACATGCAAGCAAAATAAGCGGGTTACCGCGGGTCTTGCACTGAAGAAGTTAATTTTTTATTGGTAAAAACAAAAACTAGCTTTGAAATGATTTAATAACGGATGCAGATCATAACAATCGATATTTTATGAATAAAAATCCATCGAAAAACGATCGGCATATGATGTACCGGGTGATTGTCTATATTTTGCACCCACACCTATCTCACCTGCTTGAAGAGATACCCAGAAATGACAAATGTGAAAGTTGTAGGTAATATCAGAAATGGAAAACCCCCTATGTTATTGTACCATTGGATTAGCCTTTCAAACCTGATTCCAAATATACTAGGTTTTTTAGGTTTATTCCTCATAGTCCAGCCTTTGAATATACCATTTTGAAGAAATAATATGCCTTTTGCATTTTGCATTTTGAAGAAATAATATACCTTTATATTTTGCTGGTGGTCTCTATACTTCACCTTTTTCAATAAAAATGGAATTATTCCACCCATTTTTGTCCTTTTTTCTCCTAGACTATTAGGAATAAACCTAAAAAACCTAGTATATTTGGAATCAGGTTTGAAAGGCTAATCCAATAGGACACTATTATATGGGATTTTCCATTTAAAAAAGTATAACTTTGCTTCGCTACACTTTTGTGAGACACCCTGTATACTTGTAACTAACATCATTTATTTATTTATTTATTATACGGGATAACCCCATTAACAGCAAAATTACAACAAAAAATAATAAATTGGTTAGGTATATATATTATAAAACCTGCAGCAAGTAAGCGTTAACACTAAAAGAAAAACAAGAAATAACAAAATATAAACTTAAGGAAAAACAATCTAAGCTACCCAGGAAAAAATATATATATATATATATACTTAAGGAGAAAAAAAAACAAAAATAAAACAATAAACATCATTGAAAACTTTCTGATATTACCTACAAAGGACCCCGCACACTTCTTATGGGATTTTGGTTGAACGCGGAATTCAACCAAATTTTGGTATGTTGTATATTTCGACCTCCTGAATAAAAGTTCTCATGGGTACAAACCGATCCTATGAGTAGTTTCGGATATACGGGGGTTTTTCTAATACTACCTCAGGCAACCTGAAAATACTGAATTTTCATGCTTTATGCGTTTATTTGAGATAGATAGCTTTAAAAAATGTTGATTAAGTTTAGACCTTTCACAGAAAAGTGCATGTTTTCAGTTAGGTGACTATATATGTGAATGTACGAGGGTATTTTGAAAAGTACTTGTTTGGTGGGCCTTTGTGTGTTTTTAAAATAAACACAAATAGAAGTATGACAAACTATATACTGTATTTTTCCCAAGATAGATTTTGACTTGACACTGTTAATTTTGAAACATAAACAATGCCGCTTATTGGTCGCAAGATGCCATTTGCACCTCATGCATTGTAAAGTGATTATAACCTGCAGGGAAACCTCATTTTCCGACCAATCGTTATCGTTTATGTTTCAATATCAAAATCCACCTTGAGTTTTCAACAATAGGGTTTTCATCCTCAAATCCTAACTCGGTTCGACGCTTTACAGCCAATCTACGGACTTCGGCATCTTTCAGTAATAAAACAGTGGGATTTACTCTTACTCTAGTCCTCTATCGCACACGTAGCACATTACCTTTCCCGAACTGCCATTTTCACAAGAAAGGTGACAAAAAAGACAATTCGCTTTATTGACAGGGTCACTGTTTTGGTTACCATGGTTACCAAGTGAAATATGACACATGAAAAAACAATTTTCATTGCTTTTCTTTCCATGGCTGTTTAGATTTTTCAAACAAATCACCAAGTGTATGTATACCTAATATCTAAACACCTAAACCCTAGGGATCATGAGGCAAAAAGTTTTTAGCACAACCGTAGCAAGAACTGGAATTCATTGAGATAGAAAATCACTTTTATCACAAAACAAAGTATCTGAGTACCTACAAGTACACAATTTTTCACACTTTTGAACATTTTTGGTCATTAACTCATTTAGCTTAGTAATAGCCATAGTTTTTGAGCGTCCCTGGTATATGAAGGAAGAGTTACGAACACCTACTAAACATTTTTAGTTAAGGAAAGATGAAATAAACAACTTTTAAAGCAATACATGCGTTTTCTTGCTTTATGTATACTTTATATAGGTACTTAGGTTGCCTAAGGTAGTATAAGAAAACCCCCTGTATATCCGAAACTAGTCATAGGATCGGTTTGTACCCATGAGAACTTTTACTCAGGAGGTCGAAATATACAACATACCAAAATTTGGTTAAATTCCGCGTTCAACCAAAATCCCATAAGAAGTGTTCGGGGTCCTTTCACACTAGACATTTCTAGGTATCTCTTCAAACAGGTGAGATAGGTGTGGGTGCAAAATATAGACAATCACCCAGTACGTAGGATCCAAGGGTCGGCGTTCACCCTTAAAATTTCTCATTTTTGAATTTTAGGGCCGATCCTTTGATCCCACGTACACCATATGCCGATCGTTTTCCGATGGATTTTTATTCATAACATATCGATTGGTACGCTCGTCATACGTTTTACTATCATTCCAAAGCTCGTTTTTGTTTTTACCAATAAACAATTAACTTCTTCACCGCAAGTCCCGCGGTCACCCGCTAATTTGACTTGCACGTTGACGAGCATATGCATAATTACCAAAACCTCAGAGGGCATACATAACACTACTGTTGCATTTTTGGCAGTGGGCCTACTTTGGTCTACTAATAAACTTTTTATAAATTATGTAGGTACGCTTAAGTAACAAAAATACATAATAATGTGATGTATATAGACCCAACTAAACACCTCAAGAGAATTTAACAATTGATTAATTGAAACATAGCTGAACATTTATCTACTGTTGCATAACACATTTTAAAACCTAAAAATACAAACTCTTTATCCACTTAATATTTAGTCGCCTGATTATTCAAAGCTCTAATACCAATCCTAGAGATTATAGCTATAGACAACAAACTAACAACACCTGCGGGCATTATTTTGCCAGACTTGTAGTATCTGAATCCCATAAGACCTGCTAGTAGGGAACTGGTACCCAGCTGAAGTCCATAGTTAGAGGGATCTTGACTAGTTTGGTAGGCCCCAATGACCAGAACTGTACCACAAATAAGCCCAGCAGCTAAAGACGGGATCGAACCTGGAAATAAAAAGATTGATATATAAACAATTATTATTACACACTGTGTAAATTTTATAATACCAACTTGTTCGTTGTTCTACTAGCAGTTCAAAGTGTTGGTGAAGCAAATTTTGTATAAAATGTCATGCATAATAAACATTCTATTTGACTGCACTTCTCTAATTTTTCATATTATTACTCATGCACAACAAGAGATTTGAGGGCGTTGGAATGTAATTGAATCTGTATGTGTTCTTTTTTGTTGCTCATTTAAGCAAAGTGTTCATTTTTTTTTAATCTAATTAGGATATGAAATCTGGCTTCCAAGGATTAGAAGCTAAAACCATAAAATTTATAGAATCAGATACACTGAATAAAATATCAAGATTATCGAGCATCAAATTCAGCATTCAGAAGAAAAATACACTATGAGCAAATGGGTTAAAAAAAACTGTTTATCTGTCACTATTTGATAATAGAGACATGATGGTTGTGACAAAATTGTACCTGTAAAATTATAAATTTTCACACTCGTCTGACAGAAACAAAATTAATTGAATTACCTATTCGTGAAACATTGAAAAAATTGACCTTGCAGTCGGTTTCTGGATTAAAAATTTTATTTCATTTCCAATTAATGTTGCATCGCGTGTTAAAGTTGTATAGGCGTGTTAAAGTTGCATAGGTCTGTTAGGTTCATATCAGACTGTAAGCAGTTACAACTAGATCTGAATTGTTTTGCTCTGTGGTGTTACCTAAATGACCTAGGTAATCCTTAATTTAAATAAATGTAAAACTATAACCTTCTCTAAATCTCATGTAGCAATTTTTTATCAATATAAATTAAATGATCAAATAGTTGAAAGCGTAGACTCTATTAAAGATTTGGGAGTTACGTTTAGACAGGACCTAACATTTAACTTGCATATTGAGAATATTTGTGATGGGGCAATGAAACTTTTGAGATTTGTATTTCGCACCCTAAGAGATTTTAATATTTTTACCATAAAAAGTGTTCACTGTTCTGTAGTGAGATCCCTTTTGGAATATGCTACCCCAATTTGGTCACTCCATTAGGGGGTCCATATAAATTATAATTATATTGAGAGAATTCGGAAACACTTTCTAAGGCATTTTTTTTTTTTAATTTTTTTTATTTATTCAAGGACGGTGAAACGCCATTAATAGTTACAATCGAGGGGGATTTCAGTAGTGGAACTGTGTACACTAAATTACCACTTCCGACAGACATTACCACAAATTACCAGTAATTTCCTCTAAATTACCACTTTTTTCCTCTATTACCTTTCATTGCCTCAGGAATTACCACTCAATGCCACTCAAATTACCACGTATTACCTCTTATTTCCGCTAAATACCACTAATTACCACTGTCAATACCACTAATTACCACTGTCATTACCATTAATTGCCACTGAAATTACCACTAAATACCAGGAATTTATTTCAACTTTCAAGTATACCCAAGACTAGAACTCAATAACAAATCGAAATGAAAGAAGAGCAAATCAAAATGTTGAAAGTTGAAAAAATTAGATACTCAGGAAAGCATTCTAACATGTTTCGAAGAAAAAAGGATTCCAAAATCCGGCAAAAACTCAAATTTCATCTTCTAGAAACCGGATAAAAATCATTTGATTGATGTTGAAGGAGCAAATCGAGATGTTAAAAGAAGAACCAATCAAGATGTTGAAAGTTGAGAAAGAGAAACACTCAAGGAGGCATTTCGACATGCCTCCAAGAAAAAAGGATTCCAAAATCCTGCAAAACTCAAGTTCCATCTTCTAGAATCTGGATAAAAATCATTTGATTGATGTTGAAGGAACAAATCGAGATGTTAAAGAAAAGCAAATCAAGATGTTGAAAGTTGAAAAAGACAGACACGCAAGAAGGCATTCCAACATGTCTTGAAGAAAAAAGGATTCCAAAATCCTGCAAAAATTCCAAGTTCTAGCTTCTAGAAACTGGATAAAAATCATTTGATTGATGTTAAAGGAACAAATCGAGATGTTAAAAGAAGAGCAAATCAAAATGTTGAAAGTTGAAAAAAAGAAACACTCGAGGAGGCATTTCAACATGTCTCGAAGAAAAAAGGATTCCAAAATCCTGGAAAACTCAAGTTCAATCTTCTAGAAACTGGATAAAAATCATTTGATTGATGTTGAAGGAACAAATCGAAATTTTAAAAAAAGAGCAAATCAATATGTTGAAAGTTGAAAAAGGCAGACACTCAGGGAGGTATTCCAACATGTCTCAAAGTCCTGCAAAAATTGAAGTTTTATCTTCTAGAAACTGGATTAAAATTATTTAACTGATGATGAACGAACAAATCGAGATGTTGAAGGAAGAGCAAATTAAGATGTTGAAAGTTGAAAAAGAGAAACACTCAAGGAGGCATTTCAACATGTCTCGAAAGAAAAGGATTCCAAAATCCTGCAAAACTCAAGTTCCATCTCCTAGAAACTGGATAAAAATCATTTGATTCATGTTAAAGGGGGTGTGACCCAAAAATGAAAGTTTTGGTGCAGAAAAATCTAAGAATAAATATCTAAACCGCATCTTGCTACAATGGTCCGTTTTTGAGTTAGGGCAGTTTAAAGTTACAACTAGGCGTTTGTGACGTCACACTGGATTATCAGGGACAGTATTAACACGTGTGAGAATTTTCCAAAACAAAAGACAATTATCTCCTAGAGCGAATTGCAACCACTCAACGTATAGGGTACGGTTCACTGATGACTGAACGAAAAGACTGCCATTTCGGTGGTTGTGACATCACAAGCTCCTGCATAATTTATCTTCACAAGGAATTTTCTCGGAGACTATTTTGAATATAGGACTGCGATTTTCACGAGAGATCTCAGAATTTTTTTCTTGATTCAAGTAACTTAAGTCGTTTTTTAGGGTCACACCCCCTTTTTAAAGGAACAAACCGAGTTCACCATCAGCGACTTCAGAACATTCCGACTCTATTTCGGATTCCATCTAGAAGACGAAAATATGAAAAAATATGAAATTTCACACGCCATTGCAGATCCTCACAAATATTTGCGTATTTCACGTATTTGGCTCGGTATTTGGCATCCATCTAGGATAGGTGAAAATCTAGAAAATTGAAACTAGAGAAACAGAGAGACGGAAACACATAAACACCTAATATTTGTAGATATTTGCCGAGGGGGTAACATCTTCTTGAATTTTGTGACAGTATTGCGACAATCCCTACGATTTTCCTAAGATTGCTGCGATTGCGACTGCAATCCGGGATTGTGAGGCGATTGTTAGATTTTGGAGGATTGCATTGTGGCTGCATATGATTGTGAATGATTGCAGACGATTGTGAATGATTGCAGATGATTGTAGGCGATTGCGAGTGACTCAGAAAGATTTTTGGTAGCTGCTTGAGTTACTGAGTTACACTGACATATTATTATCTTAAGGAACATATTTATTTATTTTGGCCATTAGATTATAGATTTTTATTTATTAACCCACAAATAAAAATACGAGTAAAAATATGAACAAATATATTTTGCTATTCTTTCAAGGATTTCAAAGTTGTATATGGGTATGTACAGGGTCTGTTCCTTTCTTGCTCATGAATAGTGTTTATAGTGTCGCTTCTACAACTTGAACAAAAAAAAAAATAATAAAAAAAGTTAAATACAAAAGTTGTAGGGTTTTATCTCTATCATCTTTTGCACATGCACATGTCAAAACGGGTAAATGGCAGGTGTCAACAAACATAATGACAAACACTTGCATTTTTTCAAATGGAACACCCTGTATATTTTTGAATAAAATGATATATTTCTTCTGATTCCAAATATACCATATACAAATGTTGATATTTGGTTCAGCAGTTTTTACGATATCTAAGTTTTAAAATGCATTTACATTACCCTAAATTAGGTCGGTTCCCGGTTCCTTAAATCAATGGTCAGGCTTACTTAATGCAATTTTGGTATGGTGTATTTGGAATCAGAAGGAAAAGATCAATCATGCTAGCCAAAAATATAATAGAGATAATACCCTACAACTTTTGTATTTAACTTATAAGGCTATTTTAAATCCTGCTTGTCCTTATTGCACGTCCAATAACTCTCTATTATTTCCAAAACAGTTGAACTTGGGTATAGGGTATATGACATGAAATCTGCTCAGAATTTTACGTAGAATCCAAATATGCAATCACATACAGGGTGTCTCATTTAAAATCAGCAAGTTGTCTACTTCCAGTATAATCGGAAGTGCCACCATTTTGAAAATATTTTAGTCGGGTTGCCCCTACTGAAATTAGCACCTTAACCTTAAAACAAGTGATGGTGTACGCGATTGCCAATGCGATTGTCAGATTGCGACAGCGATTGTGGGGCAGCGAATGCGATTGTAGGATTATTTTACAGCGATTGTGAGATTGCAAACCCGATTGTGGGACTGCGACTGAGATTGTCACGGAAATTTAAGTGATTGCAAGCGATTGTTGAGAATTTGTGACAGTATTGCGGCAAGATGTTACCCCCTCGCTATTTGCTGAATGTGTGATAGAGGCTTAAGGTATTATAATAATTTATTTTTATGGATCACGACCGTTGATGATTGATATGGTTTTGAATAATAATTGGGAATCAGTCAGTATCAATATAGATTTATTTACTCTTTTAACAAATGCCTAGCTTTAGCTCTAGCTTTTTTTTTTAATTCATTTAGTAAATAAATTTATATTGATACTGGCTAATTCCCAATTATTCAAAACCGTATTATAATAATATAAGAAAGAGTGGATTCTATCACATTTACCTTTTCTTTTAGATTTAGGAACACTAAAACACAAAACTGGGCCTTGAATGAGACGAGAAAGTTTTAAAATGAGCAGTAAAAACAATGTTATTCTTAGATGATGTCAAACCAAGTGTTGAACAATTGCAAGGTTGTCACTTCTCATGTAATGAAACCTCAAATGGAACATTCCTTAGAAAATGAAAGTTGATGTTTCTAACTGACTAATAGGGACTCAGAAGAATATTTTACTTAAATCATAGTTGAATAGTTTACAGTTGAAGCTATTACTTCTAAATTAAAGCAAATTGGAAGGCATATCATAATTTTATCACTATAGTACTTTGAGGTATTTCCACAAAATTTCCTTTAATTACCCCCAAAATTGCCTTAAATTGCCTCAAATTACCAAAAATTACCCCGAATTACCACTATATTTCCACAAATTACCACTAAATAACACTGTATTTCCCTTAATTTCCAGTCATTACCACTCATTTCCCGTAAAAATTCCACTAATTACCACGATTGTGTACACTAAATTACCACAATGAAATCCCCCTCGGTTACAATTAACAAAGAATTTTATAATTATGTTAATAGATTGCTAAACAATATAACTTAACTTAGCTATAAAACTTCTTAGAATTAACCCTGAAATGTCACAATCTTGCTTACTGCACAGTAATCCTATTAAATTGACCATTGAACTGATTTAAAGTTAAACCAAAAATCTCCAAATGATGTTCGTTAACCAATCTAGAATATCTATCTAATGGCAAATTAAAACCATAGTTTGTACGATGAAATGTTATATAAAAAGTTGTAAAATTCTGTCTTCTATTTCTATTGACAATCTCCACGCCAATCTGATTCAACAAATCCACGCAATCAATCCTATTATTAATTGAATTGATTGAGCCAATACTTGGTGAAAATTGAATTTATCCGTGGTTGGAAAAAGTAATAAAAAGTATTTTTACTTAATTTTCACTAATTTATTTACAACAGTAACATGTTTCGCTACACTGTAGCTTCATCAGACTACTTAAAACTATATGGTTGGTCACTTTTTATATGCTAACTTAACTAACAGGGTACACAATTTTACAAACATACTTAGAAATTAATAATATACAAATTACAATGGTCTATTGTTGAAGGGTACAAGGTTAATAAAATGTCCGTGAATATTTAATAGTTAAAAATATTAAGTAAAGGAGAATTATTTAAATCTAGTTGATCGTTGAGTAAAAAATCTGAGTTCTTAAGTTTATTAATTTCCAATGATTCCAGGTAGTTAAGTTTGAGTCCTTTATTTTCTGTATGTAAAATTTTTATGTTATCATTGAATGTATGGTTGGTTTCAATAAGATGATTGGAATAATTAGAATAAGTTTTGCGTTTCATGTAAGAATTATGATGTTCTGAAATTCTTGTTTTAAAACATCTTTCTGTCTGGCCTATATACGTTTTTGGACATTCATTACAAGTAAGTTGATATACTCCTGACTTTGACATTTTATCTGATTTGCTTTTATTGTTTTTAAGATGTTTAGCAAGTGAATTTGATGTTTTGAAGGCAATATTAATGTCTAATTTATTTAAGTAAGAACTGAGTTTTTTGCTTGTTGGACCAAAGTATGTTAATGACTTGAAGTTTTTATTAGGATCTCGAATTGTTGGGTATATTCTATTGAAACATTTTTTAAATTGGTTTTTTCCTAGGGGACTATCAATGATGTTCGGGTTGTATCCATTATTGAGGGCAATTTGTTTAATAATATTGAGTTCTTTGGTGAAATCATTTTCATTCAAGGGGATAGAAATTAGTCTATGGATCATACTATGGAAAGGTGCTAATTTATGTTGAATCGGATGGCATGAAGAATTGTGAATAGTGGTGTCAGTTTGAGATGGTTTATGATAAGTATGACGTCCTTTCTCTTTTTCAATGGTAAGATGGAGAAAATTAACGGAATCGTTAACTTCTTCTTCGATAGTGAATTTGATATTAGGATGTAAATTATTCATAAAGTTTAAAAAGGAAGAAAGTTGACGATCGGTTTCAACAAAGCAAGTTAATATGCTTGGTGCTGATATTGCCTATAAGATGCATTTACCATCAGAAGAAGTTTGCTACGACCTGTTGCGGTTGTTGAGTCTTTCTAGTTCAGAGACACCTAGGAGGAATTATGATATCTGGATTACTTTCTAAGTTGCTCAATAACTTAATTGACTGTCCCCCTTTGTTGAACAGCATTTCCCTGCGTGTCCCTGTGAAACAGACTAGGCAAGTGCATCTTTTTCATACTGGCTATCATAAGAATAATTATGGTTTTTTCTACCCTATGGCTAGAATATGCAGAAACGCCGAGAGAAACGCTAATCAGCTACCCAACAATTTTGATTTTTTTGGCATGTCTCTGAAAACGTTTAAACAGCTGTCTAAAATAAACATATCTCTATCCACTGTATATTCGCAAAAATTGAATATCCATGATACCTCAAGTCGACCATACATTCTTTAGAATCGTACAAGATTTTTATGGAAATTTTTATGTCTTTTAGTCTTATTTTTTTTCCCCATATTTTATGATTTATCATTTATAAAATTGGGTTATACCCGTTGAATGAATAAATTAAATAAATATGATTTCAATAAATATTGGATTTTAAGCAAAGTCATGCCTGCATGCATGCCTACACGAATTTAGCTAGAAGGCCAGATAGCATCATTCCTATCAGTTTATATCAAACCCATTACTTACCTGCTTTTACATAGCCCATAATACCACCAGTGGCTATTGCCCCAGCGTACAAATATCCTGGAACATCGGCTGGCATTTTTACTCTTCAAAGAAATCTTATGATTTTCAAATAATTTGAAATGGTATATTTTGCTTGTAGTAGACTAGCAAATTAAACAAGAAAACAAGTGACAGTCAAAATCAGATCAAGTCAAGTCAAGTAGAGGTGGGAAACTATCGATGGTAATTATCGATATATCGATAGTTTGCAACACTATCGATAGTTCTACTTGGACAATCGATAGCAGTCCTTCTGTCTTTTCTTATGTCAGCAATGTCAAGTGTCAAAAAATTTACAACTCAGCTACACTCAATGAACTATAACCACAGTACACCAACCTAATTTAGTAAAATAAGTATTGCTCTCCCGCCTAAACGTGTTTAGTAACTGGAGACAAACTACAGAGGGCGCTGACAGCCCACAAAATTTACAGTGACTCTATTACCACAGTGGCGACAATTGCTGTCTTATTTTTGATTGGTTCTAAAATCCCATATATTTATATTGAAAACGCCGCCATCTTGTTCCCAACCTCTTGTTACTTTTAAATATGAATATATGGGATTTAGGTGAACATCCATCATAAATCATGAAAAACAACGTATTTGATTAACCTAATACTGGTCGGGGATTCTAAAATCACGATTCGACATACGACTCGACAGCGAGACGATTTTCCCGACGATTCTAGGTTAGAAATCTCATTGGAATTATACCTTTCGAGACGACAAGGCCGGTATCGTTGTCGAGTCGTGTGTCGAATCGTGATTTTAGAATCTCGGCCCTGGTCATCAAATACGTCGATTTCAATTTTTTATGATAGATGTCCATTTAAATCCTATATATTATTATTTAAAAGCAACAAGAGGTTGGGAACAAGATGGCGGCGGGACCTCTATTGTCGCCACTGTATGTAAAGGTTTATTTAGCCACTGTAACAAAATTGATATTACAGCTCCGCCCAGCAATTCCCCCTCTTTAGGCGATAGAGGCCACTGAAGATTGTTTGGGTTGTGAATGTTTTGTTTTGGCATTTACCGGCATGTGCCCTAACCTGAATGTTCTCAAGTTTTAAGATATTTTTATATTATTTTTTTGTTGAGTTGTGTTGTGTTGCGTTTTGTGCCCAGATTTGTTTTAGTTTTTGTGATTTTCGTGGTTTTTTAAAATGGAAATTGCGAAGAGAAATAAAGTTTGTTGTGTTGCTGAATGTAAAGACCGGACCAGCAGGAGACATAGGTTTCCCAAGAAATACCCGGAATTATTTAAATTGTGGGTAGACAGGATTAAACCTAAAGACTATAACATTCTAAGTGCAGACGAAATTTACCAGAAATATGTTGTTTGCAATAACCATTTTAATCCCAGTGACATCGTTAATGAAACCAGGGGCATCCGAGCAACAGCAATTCCCTGTTTGCTGATTCCTGGTAAGTAAAGACAATTATTGTTTTATTTTTATTCACCTACGCGTAGCATTTATCATTGAAAAAAAAAGAGTACCTAGTGATGACATATTATAGGTACCTATCTATAAAATTAATAACATTTCCCAAAATTATCTTTATTTTTTTTATGGAAAAAACCAGGACAAAGATCGATTACCCAATTCTTAAAAACGTTGATCCAATTAATTTTTTTAAATTTTCGATTAAAAAAAATAACTAAATAATTAAACTGGGAATTAGACAAAGTAAAAAAATTGAGTTTAACAATGTATTTATCGAGAAATTGAGAAGTCCTTGGCATCAGCATCAATCATTAAAATTGATAGGCAGATAAAATGGGTATGCTAAGTAAGTAGGTAGGTAATATAAAAGCAAATACCTTAACTCCAAAGTTCTTTAAAACCCCATTTTTGTGATCAAATTACCAAGGTATTTTGCATTTACTTAATTGCACTTTTGAAAACCCCAAATCATATTTTAATTCATATACAAGTACTTTTACCTGTTAGGTAGTACCGCAGGTGAAATTTTAAATTAAAAATGTACCTACCCACCTATATTAGATCTATAATTGCATTTTAATGAATGTGTTTATTAAGTAGGTATTATGTACCTACCTGGAAGACTCATTCTAGCATATAATAATATAAGTTGGGTGTCTGTTAGAGATGACTATTACCACTTACCAACTAAAATAATGTATGCAGGGTGTCCCAATTTTATTTTCAGTTAATAAATTTAAGTTAAGTATCTAGGTACTTACCATTAAAATAAACTTAATATTAAATCGAGATTAAAAATGAGAATATTTCCCAATAATATTTGTTTTAAGTTAATTATTTGAATTAAATTAATGTTTTTTTTATCCATTTTAGGTTTTCAACTTGCTCAGTCCGCTACTGAATTAGATGAGAGCTCAGACGAGAGCCTTGTTCCTGCAAAACGGCTAAGAGTTATTGAAGGTATGAATATCCCAAATTATTTGCCATTAAATATACTAAATTAGTAGAACACATATTTCATTCAAATGAACATATTTCTTCTCATATGTTTGTGTGTAGACATTTTCAACTCAATTTTTTATCTGTAATAGTTACTTACCTTATATTTGAGATTATAACATGTAAATATAAAGCCTAATAGAATAACTACTTACTGAAGTTTTTCCTGAATTTTCACACAATTGAAAAAATAATAATATAAAACTTGAATCATTTTTAAGGTTTAGTCTCCCATCTGTCAGTACCCTCAACAAACTTCTCCAAAAACTTCCAATGAAAACAGGAATTAATAAGCATATATTTCAATCATTCCAAAACCAAATAAGAAAAATGAAAGATGAGAAGGAAAAAACCTGCATTCTCATGTTTGATGAGATAGAACTTGCCACTGGATTAAAGTATGATCGAAGCTCCGACATGATCTTAGGTTTTCAAGATGATGGGGAGTCAAGGAAACCAGTTATAGCAAATTATGCCAACGTGTTTATGCTAAAGGGAGACAGTGGAAACAGCCAGTTGTATTTTCCTTTAATAATGGTCCTATTGGCTCTATCATATTAAAAAATATGATAAAAAATATTATAGAGGAGTGTTTCCTAATAGGATTAGATGTTGTTGCTACCATATGTGATCAAGGCTCCACAAATCGTAAAGCTGTAGACTTATTATTGAAGGAGACTAACGAAGAATTTTTAAAGAAAAATGAGACTAATCCTTATTTTGGCTTCGCAGTACAGGACAAAGAGGTAATACCACTATTCGATATCCCCCATCTATTTAAAGGTATTAGAAACAATCTGCTGAATAAGGAATTGTATTTTATAATAAATGGAGAAAAGAAAATAGCAAAGTGGGCCCACATACGCCAATTTTACGAATTGGATATATCGGAGCCCACCCTTAGACTGTGTAACAAACTGACTGACGCCCATATTTATGAAGCAAAAATGAGGAAGATGAAGGTGAAAAACTGTACTCAGGTGTTCAGCAATACTGTAGGATCCCTCATGAAAAGGATTACAAAATGGGGTATGTAATAACTTTAAATCCTAAATATGTGCTTGAAGTCTCAAATTTTCACAATATTTGTTGGAGTAAATTCAACCTGTAATATTTTAATATTTAATATTATTGGGAAAAACCTGCGTGGTGTTAATTTTTTCTGTATTTTATTTTCAGATATTAAAGACAACTTTAATCTGCCCCGAGAAGCTGAAGATACAAGTGACCTGATTCTTTTTTTGGACAAATTGTTTGACAGCTTCAATGTAACAAGGTTCACCAAAGTCCAAGCAGCAAAACCATTGAAGTGTCCAATAAATCAACAGTCCCCACACCAAAACTTCTGGTCTGATGCCAAAAAAATTGTAAGAACGATGACATTTCATTCTAGACAGCAGGACAAATTGGTTCCCGTTTCAATCCCCAGTTTAAAAAATTTGTTATTTACAATGGACGGATTTTCACATTTAGTAAATATTCTTTTGACAGAGAAAAGATTTAAATTCGTATTGAGTGGTGCTTTCAATCAGGATTCTCTAGAGAACTTTTTTAGTTACATTAGAAGCCATGGAATCAGAAATGTTAATCCTGATTGTTCCCAATTTATTGGCTCCTTTAAATCTTTAGTGGTTAATAATTGCATGGCAACTCATTCGGCTGGTTCAAACTGTCAAAAGGATATCCAAACGATAAGCTTGGATGATTTAAGATGTTTTTTAACTAGGGAAATTGAAGCTGGTGTTGCTTCATTAGAAAACACAACACATATAGAAATACCGAAGGGCCTTATTTTGAGAAAAAGAACAAGAATTGGCAGATGTACAATTAAGTATATGAGTGGTGCTATTGTTAAAATGTTATTTAAGTCGAAAGACATAAGGAACTGCCAAACATGTCGTAATAATTTATTAAAGAGACACGGTGTACACTATGAAGACGATGAGGTGATTGAAGCCAGGAAATATGAAAGAGGAAACCTCATAAGACCTGGTGATTCTGTAAATCTTTTAATTTCCATGTCGTTAAATTATTTATTTCATTTAATTCCAAGATTTTGTACCTTGTCCAATATTTGTGAAATATTACACCATGTTTTGCTTAAAGAGCTATCATTCAATATACTTAATTGTCCCAATCACAAGTTAGGTGAAAGACTGTGTAAACTGGTTACAAGATGTTCACTTTATTGGTGGTGCAAAAGTGTAAATAAAATTCTAAGAGGCAGAGACAGCAAGTTTTCAGCATTTTTGTCTCGGACCACCAATAAAGATTTGATTGATCCTATCAAAAAACATGCCCTACAAATATGGGAAAAAAGGAGAAAGAATTATAAAAAATAATTTTTCTCCTACCATGTGTAAAATACCTCATATAAATACTCATTAGATCATATATTGTAGATATATTTAATATTATAGTTTTCAGTAGTTATGTGTAATTAATTTTTTTCAAATTTTTCAAGAATTTTTGTTTAGCTCTATTAAATTTAATATTTTCTCTGTGTCTTTGTACATATTAACTTATATTTTCTAATTAAATGTGAGATGCATTTCTTGTGACAAATTTACTTTTATTGCCAACATAACACAAAAATACATATAATAAATTTACATTGTTATACCAACATAATTCTTATTGTGTGTGTATTTATTTTATTACATATTTAAAATTTTTGCAGAAGAAAAATAATAACAACAAAATACAATTAC